TAGTCTCCTCTCTCCAAACCTCTCCAACCCATTTGCACCTGAGCTGTGATGAAAGAGATCTTGTACTTTCAGATGACTTTCACATGTGTTCCAGTCCTTTCTATCCCACCTTCCCCAAAACTCGCTTCCTGCATTTTTCTTTTAATTTTTTGGCCAAACAACTCTCCAGATCTCCTTTCTACTGTTTCAATCCCAGTGCCACATGGGCATTATAATACCCTTCCCTCTAAACACATATCATAGCTGGTCTATTTTCCTTTCCAACTTCAGCTCTATTTCTCTGAAAAGTCCACTTCCTGTGAGAAGAATTAATAGCCAGGCTTTAGAAGGGGGAACCCCTAACTGCTCTCTCCACCACTCCATGTAGCCTCGGTCCTCAGCACTCCACCAACTGTGGTCTCCTGGGGGATGTTTGATGACTCCCTGTTACCAGTGCAACAGTCCCTTCTCCGTACTTGTCATGGTTCCCATTGCCATAGGACCTATCAGATGTCCTCTTTCCTGAGACCAGTTTTTCTCTTGCTTTAAGCAAATACCTTGCTCACACAAGCATCCTTTACTATGTCTACAATGTGATTAGTAACCCCTTTTCACTGCATCATACCAATGTTTTGTCCTCCAAACAAGTCTAAATTTTGGGGTTGTACCTGTCCCCACCCACCCATCCTCTAGACTCCATAAGTGATCCAATCAAGTCTCACAGCATGAAGCATCTTATCAATGATTTCTAATCTAAATCATCAGCTTTGGCATTTCCCCCAGTGCTGTATTGTGGATATAATCACCTGACTTCCTGGCATTTCTTCATGGGAATTCAAGTGACACCCCAGACCTAACATTGCCCAAACTAAGCTTTTATGTGTCTCATTCACCCAAACTTTCATATGCCCATTCTCTCAGTACTGTCTATTTTGAACTTACATGTTCAGTTGTCAGAGTTCTGCATACAGATCCTATCTCTAAATTCTTTCCCTTTGCCCCCTATCAGGTCAATCCTTGCCCTATGGATCCCAAACACAGGAGTAGGAGGGAGGGACAATGGAGCCACAGTCAATCAAGTGAGAGAAGCTGGACGGTTCTTACAATTTCCTGAAGGTACTGCAGACATGGTGGCAGTGGGCTCTTAGAAGGTGCAGCTCTGGGTGTTCCCCCAGCTCCAACCTTCTGTGGGAGACACAGGGTCAATCCTGGGAGTATCAGGGCCTAGGACTCAGGTGCCAAGATCTATCTTCTTCAGAGAGTCAGAAACATGAAAGAAATTCAATAACAGAACTTAGAAAAAATGGGGTATACCGATGAATGTCCATTTTGTATCTGTGTATTCAAAGTGGTTAGGATAGATATATAGTTGCATTCTCTTAATGAATAGAATGATTTGTTCTAATGGTGTTTGTAAATAGGATCACAAGTCTGCATCTTGTACAGCAATTAACAACTATGAAGAATATATGCAGTGTATTATTTGTTGAAACTGTACTTCCGATTTGATTTGAAACTGTCTCATTGCTATCTGTTTATCAATAAAACTTTGGGAAAAAAAATCAAATCTTTCCCCAAACCAAAAAAAAAAAAAAGAAACATGAAAGAAACATTAGTGAGGGGAGAAGAATTAGGAGCAAGCAATAGAAGAAAGATAATGTTTAAGCAAAACTGCACAGTCTAAAGAAGCAATGCTTCTGATATCGATTGTGTGGGAGTTTTCCTCAGCAAGCAATTCTCTTGGTCTTGCTCTCAGGCCTGCACATGGGGTTCAGCTCTACTGTGGAGTAACTGGGTGCTTTACACCCCACGCTGGCCCAAGCGGAATCAGGTGCAAAGTGAGAAGACACAGGCTCTACCCTTCAGTGGAAGAAACCGCAAAGCATTTCATGGCCATCTTCTTTAACAAATTCATCAAGTAGTTGGGTAGATCTGGGGTCATCGCTAAAATGAACCTATGAGGAAAAACAGAGTAGAGCAGACAGCTAGAGCTACCATGGCACAGAACCAAAGCTACAGTGGATTAAATCACTGATTTAGTCAGTATTCTGGAGGTTAGAGTCCAAGATCAAGGGTGCACAGGACTAGGTCTCCTGGGTCTCTCTCCAAGTCTTTCAATGGCCATTACCTCTCCCTGCCCTCACATGATCTTCACTTTCTGCATCCTAATCTCCTTTTCTTTTACTGACACCCATCCCAGTGCATGAAGACCCAGCCTGACACTCTCACTTCAACTCAGTTATCGCTGCAAACCTTCTGTGGTGCTAGGGGTTAACCGATGAGAAATGCATGCTATGACGTAGAGTTAGTTGTAGGAGAAAGAGAGGAGAAAAAATGCTGGAGACGAGTGGGAAGATGAAGCTCCATGATATCTGGAGCTCAAGCCCAAACCTGGGCTACAACTAAGGATCTGGGGATTGTTGGCCAAGCATGATTCAAACATTGAGCAGAGAGAGTCATGCAGAAGGAACGTAGAATAAGAGATAAAGAGGATTTTTCCTAGTTTCTGTGGTATGCACAATATTTATACACAGGTAATCATATTGAGTGCATTCATCTGTTACATGCTCTTCAGAGAGAGGCAAAGAGACTGAGAGACAGAGACAGAGACAGAGACAGAAAGACAGAGAGACAGAGAGAGACAGAGAGAGAGACAGAGAGAGAGAGAGACAGAGAGAGAGGGAATGTAAATATTATTTCTCTCAACTCATAGATGAAGTGTGTGAGACTCAGCAGTTAAAATCAAGGATCAAATCCAGCCCACTGTCTGCTTCCCTATGGGCTGTACAAAAGAGACAAAAATAGATTTGCACTTTTCACTGGCAAAGGAAGTCAAAATAATTTTATAACATTTCAAAAAGATATGAAGTACAACAGCAATGTCCTTGGCTGGTGCTCTGGGGACCTGGCTGTGTGTACACTGTCTGTGCTTGCTGCAGAGGAGAATCTAAAGGCGTGCTGCAGACCCTGTCCTGCTAAACGGGACGCGCTTACCACACAGCACCTTATGGAAAATAACCCTTCAGAAGGGTGAAGTAGGAGGATTGCTGAGAATTCAGAGCCAGCCCAAGCTTGCTATACAGCAAGACCCTGCCTCCAAAAGAACAGAGAGAGAGGAGAGAGAGAGAGAGAGAGAGAGAGAGAGAGAGAGAGAGAGAGAGAGAGAGATTATAAAAATAAAAAGAAATGAAGAAAAGAAAAGAAAAAGGAAAGGCCAACCCTGGCTACATGGCTTCTGCAGTTGCATAATCGTTGTCCTGCCGGGTTCCAGCACAGGCTTCACCCTCTCAGGCCCCCACCTAGAGACTTCACTGTCCCCAGAGGCCATTGCATAAGTTCAGTTACTAATAGGGCTGGGAATTCCTGCAGCACTGGCTGGGATTCCCCCAACCCGGCTGGGCCAATTCCACTTCCCTTGGCTGTTGCCCGCATGGGGCAATGGGCCGTGTGCATGCGCAAGTCCACCCTGAGACTTTCCTTTCTTTCTGCACCCTGCTTGCCTTACACCACACAGCCCCAATCAGCCCCAATCAGCCCCAATCAACTCTTCCTCATGCAAAATGATGCCCTCGGCCATCCACTTTAGTTCTCCAACTGGATTCAACCTTCCTTGTGATTTCTGGACACACTTAATCTCCTTATCCCTATTTCCTGGGAACCTTCAAAATGCATCTGTTATGGGTGATCAAAAAGAAATTTTGGGGGCTGGTGAGATAGGTCAGCAGACTAAAGCACCTTCTTAGGCAAGCTTAGGCAAACACAGGAATTGAAGTTGGATCCCAAGACAGGGTATGCTGTGCCAGCCACGGCCCCAGGGTGGGCTGAGCTGGCCAGAGTCCAGGCGTGGTAGCTCACAACTGTGATCACAGCACTGGGAAGGCTGAAAGCAGGAAGATCATCATGAGTCCCAGCTGCATAATGAGACCCCATAACAACCAAATACACTAAAAAAAAATTGTAGCATATAAATTCAGAAATTTTCAACTGAAAATTTTCAGTAATATGCTGTTGCATCCTTGTTATCCTGTCTTGGGATGCTGTAGTGTGGAATCAAGAGCAGTGGCAACTTTTTTTTTTTTTTTTTTTTTTGCGGTACCGGGGATTGAACTCAGGGCCTTGTGCTTGCCAGGGAAGCACTTATTCTACTGAGCCATCTCCCTGGCCAGTGGCAACTGTATTGCTGCCATGAGTTATTAATGAGGAAGAAATGCACAGTGCTGGGGAGGGCCAAGGGGCCTGATTAAAATAGGCATGTTTCTTGATTTTATTACTCAGACAGCACTTAACCTATTCTTAACCACCTTCGATATTCTTGGGAAGTACACTGTAAATGTTCTTGGTTTAGGTCATTGATAAGTGTAATTCTTCAGTAGGTAAAATTGAAAACATCCTGCTTGGAACAAGGTACTGGAAGTGATGCTTTTAGGATAACTGCCCTTACCTCTGTCGCCGAGTCAATCTTCACGTATTTCTGCAAATTACTCTCCAGCCTTAGTTCAAACTTCCTGAAGACTGAAATCTTGCTGGCTAGAACCCTACAAGTGAGCTTGCACAGCCGTGGAGATCCGGGAGCTGGTTTTGACCATGGTGGCTGCGTGGAGAGTGCTCAGTCCTGTGCCGTGGTCTGGACCTTCTCTGTCTCCTTTTCTTCTCTGGGTGTCTTTCCGGTGTGTGTCTTTTCCCTCTTCCTCTGTGCTTTTCACTGCTTACCACAGATTTTGCTCACCTCAATGCTTTGCCTTCCTTTACCTTGAAGGCAAGGCTCTTTGGCCCCCAATTCCATGAACTCTAATGCTGAAGGAGCTGAGCCTCTGCTTCTCACTGAGGACTGAGGTTTAAAAAAACACTGAAGCATTCCAGTCTCTGAGGGGACCCAGGCCACTCCCCGAGATGCGACATAAACAGTCTCTGCGGGTGTATTCATGCGGTCACTAAGAATCATGAAGAGATTCTGTTTCCTGTTTCATTACCTAATTAGTCAGTTCCTCTTCCCCTTCTCTGCTCCCTTGGTATATCTTCAGCGACGTCAGAGCAGAGTCGCTGTCCCCAGGAGATCACAACTTAGAACCATCCTGGGCAACAACCACCACTGGAGGATCATCCAGGTGAGAAACTCGGGTCGAAGGGCTGGGGAGCTGGACAAGGATGAATCCCATAGCCTGCTGGGCACAAGAAACACTTGGCAGGGAACTGTAGAGAAATGCAAGAGGAAAAGGGTGAGCGCAGGACACGCACAGCGTTCTCTCTGGATGTTTTTCTAAGCAGGAATGCCAAAGACTTGTTTGGAGATGAAAAGTAATGTGAAGTTGAAGAGTGACGTTGTTTAAGATGAAGAATTTTTGGAACATATTGGGGTGCTGAAGGGAGTGTTTCTCTGGGAGAATATTGATGCTGTCAGAGAAAGAAGAGATGAAGGAAGGAGGGGAACTCTTGAGAAAAGAGGATGGGGTGAGTTTGGGAGGCTGAATAGAGGGCAGATCTTGGGCCAGGATGCTTGTTTCCTCACCATGGAGGCCAAGCCACACAACAGAGCGTAGGGATCGGGCAGGCCAGGGGTTCAGCTGTCATGGGTGGGAGAGGAGGCTACAGCTCTGAAGGGAAGGCGGGGCGTGAACACTGACTCTCGTGACCTCTGTCGGCACAGTTCAGCGTTGTCCGCTGGGGAATTGTAAACTTAGGCCACTTCCTCTCTGCAGAGCTGCTTTCTCTTGTCACTGAGTGCTGAGGTCACTTAGCTTTAGCTGGAGGTCAGCAGCAGTGAGGGTGTGGGACGGCGGTCGCCAGGCAAAAGAGACTCAAAAATGGCAGCCACCGTGCCTTGTGTTCATCGTGAGCTGGGTTTTCTCTCCCTAGTGCTGGGGGAGACAAACTCCATAGCTTTTCTCTCCAGTATGCCCTAACCTATTATTGTAGTGTCTTCCTTATTCACTTTATTTACTTTTGCACCGTGCTTCAGAGCTTCCTGAGGACAGTGGTCAGCCTGCTCGTGAGAGCTCAAGGGAACGTCAGGAGAGGCCTCAATTCGCTTCTTT